AGATGATGGAAATTTCTCTACAGATGATGGAAATTTCTCTACAGATGATGGAAATTTCTCTACAGATGATGGAAATTTCTCTACAGATGATGGAAATTTCTCTACAGATGATGGAAATTTCTCTACAGATGATAGAACCTCCTCCAGGTCCTCTCTACAGTCTTCGATTTGAAGCTCGTCCTTAAAGCTTTCTTCGGCGTCAGCGCCGGCGGTGGAATTTTGAGCCGTTAAGGAACTTTCGTCACCGCGTTCATCATGTATATGCTCAATCCTCCTGGAGATTAATTAAAATTGCGTAATGAAAAATGGCGATTCTAAGATTTAAGTCCACAAATGTATATCTTATCTCCATTATAAATGCGCTGTTTCACTGCGAATGGTATTCATCGATTCTAATTCCGGCTACATATATCGCTCTATCTCGCTCTTTGTAGGTGTTGATTGACACTTAACCTTTGCAGGACCACGTTGAGGTGTGCTAATTGATGCATAAGGTCTGTTTGGCGCACTATCTCCGCCTGTATGCACTCTGACAAAAATGTGGCGCGTCTTCTTAGAGACCGAGCCATCATTTCTGAAACGAAAAAGACAGACTTCTTACAGAAAGTTACCACATCCAATATGACGTAAATGACCCCTGAACTATTGTACGCTAGACTGGCTTTGCCCACTGTTATAACAAATTCGTTCTTCAGTTATAAAACGTTTTGCCTTTACACGGGCTTCAATGCACAGGGACCAACGGTGGCTAATGTGCCTATCGACTGAAACACATCGGTAATCAAACGCAGTACTTCCCGAGCGCTTAGTATACTGCTACGCTAAAACGGCAGTATAGTGTGAATATGCACAAACCGTCGTAAAGATGGTCAAGATGGCCATCAATCTTTCCGAGTATCTCATTTAGTCCATCTTCTATTTTGCCCTTAGCATCCTCGTATTTGAACACCGCTCCATCACTGTTGACACAAATATCAGGGTCATTACTCGGTAATATTGTAAATGTTAATGCATCGCTATTTTACAGATCGGAAGCAAAAATAAGCCATCTTCTGTTTTACGTCAATTATCTGTCAACGTGTTAAGAAATTCGCATACGCGACTAACGTCTAACTAAAACTGAAATAGGACTCACCCTGCAACATGCGTATTTGCAGCTGAAAACATGGAAAACAGCGTACGAACTTCAGTACGAAATTTCGGCCAAATCTCTACATCCTTAACAAGATGTATACCGAATATTTTGGAAGATCTGCTCTGCATGAAACGAACAGGAACCAAGTAGTGGGATGCATTTCAGTTTCATAGATTAAACACATTCTTCGTATGCAAGGCCCAGAACTTTTACTTTTCTTATGCAAAAACTTCGTTAAAAGAAAAAAAGGTGTTTGCAAGTAAAAACCCATCACGCGAAAATTTTATTTCAGATACTGCTACTCACCCATATTCGTTATCGTTAGGTAAGAACGGGTGCCTATGCAGATCTGTGTGAGATCCTTTTATGCATTCCTATTGAAATTTTGGCTGAAGTTGAGGTGGCCCTACGCATTCGAGCATGAATTCAAACCCCTGCTGATCCGATTTAAGCCAAAAGCTTCCATTTTTCGGACCGAACCCGTAGATAGTAATTAAATTCTGCACTATGGACCTTTTCAGTAAACATATACGACTGTTGTCGCCATCTGGCGAATATTTCTGTTACTATTTCTACTATAGACTAATAAGTATATTATAAATATATTAAAACAATTCACCAACATTGAAAATGTTATATGATAGATTTTGAAAAATGCTAAAAAACAAACATTTGACCCAATCACTGATTAATTATTAATCAACTGTTCATAGTTGTGGCATGAAGTATATTAAGAAGGGAATGTGAGACTTACATTTTCTGCTTCGAGGGACGGTAGTGTTGAGCGTGAAGCCTAAAACATTTATATTTTAGATCAAGCCTCCTGTTCTGCTGTGCCTATTGTAAGTTCGATTTGTGTATGTACCTAAAGATGGCGGGATAACTATAGGAGCAATTAGTTCGTTCAGTTATCGGACGTCTCGAGGTCGAAAGAAGTGTCCCAGGAAGAAAATATTTTCCTATGGTTATTTCCAATAACTTAATGGAGAACTTAGTAACTGCTAACAACTGACAAAACGAAATATTCATTACGATTATTCTAAGTACTTGGAAATAAACTTTGCTAAAAATCCTCTAGAAAGGCATATTTAACATGATGTCTTTGTGGCGTGCTGTTATTACGCCACTGATATAATTTGGATGTAGTTAAGTTTCATCAAAGAATCAGTAGAAATATACGCCCTAGTTTGTACCCCGATATCGAACCAAAAAAGGTGGAAAGATGTTAAGCGGTTCAGTGTACTGAAACAAACATCTTTAAAGATACCACCTGCACACTATAAATAAACTGAAATTGGTTTACAAGGTAGTAAGTGGTACTTATTTAATGACAATAACAGAAATGACCATGACATTTATTGGGTACTAACAAAAGATGAGCGGAAGCTGACTGTTTCTGCAGCGCCATTATAATTTACTTATTTAAATCCAGCCACTCCGTGTTTTGATAAAAATACACCAATATATAATAATATAACACCCTTATTGTGAATCAGGTTGACCCTAAGCACCGGAGCAGCAAACCTTGTGTAAAGGTCAAAACTTACTATGCGTCAATCTAAGCAGTGAATTTTTACAAAAAAAAAGATGTTAACGTTCATTTCAGCCCTGCTAATTAACAAAAAGATGTATTTAAGAGGCAACGCAGGTACTAATGGACCTAGCGCTGTTAACACTTAAACTTGTAGACAACGCATGGAAGAATACCGCTTTATTCCTTCGTATCGTTTTGCACACGGCCGTGAAACTGATTGGCCTTTGTCCCATGGGAGAGGGAGCTAGTTGCTGATAGGTACATGAGAAGAAAGCGTTCAACGACGCAACAACCTTAGCATGATCGTTTCGTTTGTGGGAAATAGGTTCTTGACGCCTCAGTCTTCCGTTCTCAATAGGATAAAGGGCTATTACTGGTAAGTACGTAACAATCAGATTCTGTATACAGAAGCTAACATATGACCCTCAAAAATAACCGCATGTCTGTCTTAGATTAAATTAGATATCTGATGGATCTGTCGCTTTTGTAAAATTCAATTATTTGGTTAAATATCCTCCTAGCTTAAAGAAGTGTTAAAATTCTATAGATAGTTCAGGACTTTTCAGCTTTTTAGTGGGAAAGGCTTTTCTCATCATATAATCTCGTAGCCTAAATTTAATAAATGGGCTTCAGATCAGCGCTAAATTATACCAAGATGAAGATCACATATTTAAACAAGGTTAGATAAATGATCTTCTAAGCTGAATCTCGGCTTTCATTCGGTCTCGTTATATCATCAATGCTCGTGTAGAATTGGGCCTGCGGAGTTTTCCCATCACCAGCGACACACCTCTGTTCAGTAGAAGTTATCGGTCTCAACTTGGGTTTGCCCGCGGTTGTACTTTCGATTGCTAAGCTCAAACAGATTAAAAAAAAACCAATATGAGTGACAAGGGAAACAATTAACGCGTTGATGAGTGCCATGGCGTTATGCTATTCCCGTTAGACTGCTGTTCCGCACTTCCAGCCGAACGCTGAAGTGCCTCTTCTAGATTGAATTGTCGTCAAGAACAGTGTCTTGGAAATCACTGGTTGAACAGATTACTCATAGCACTGTAGAAAGCAGATTCAAACGATAAAAGGAAAATAGCTTACCACTATCTTGTTTAGGCACGCTAGTCATGAAGAGTTTTCTTCCAAACAAGATGATCGGGTTTCGCACCGCGCTGCTTATGGCCGCTACTTTAATAACGACGTCAACCACGGCAACCACTGAAGATTTACGTGAGTTAAAACGAAATAGTAATTTAGCAATGGGCTGTATTTTAGTAAACGCAATTTTCATCCCGACTTGGACCCCACCAAAAAGCTAAATGACTCTACGTTGCGTAACCAGCCCTACGGGTCCAGGTTGGCTGTATGCGTATGCAAACAATATTCGTGCGTAAATGATTTGAATTTGAAGGGTTGCTTTAAATCATATCAATATAATAGCCATTTTGTTGACTGCGCTAGATCAATAACCTGCCGATATTAGCACTACGTAGACCTATTTGCCAAAAAAAAAACAATCGACCAATAATGAGCTTACGTACAACCTCATCTTTAGCATGGTGTTTTTTCGTTGCTTTGTGCATGATTCTGCCCAGTGGTGATAAGCGCCCGCCTGGAAGCCAACGAATTTCTTGACAATCTTCTTGAAATTCGATTACCGAAACTGCTGCCTGATCGAGCTGAACGATTGCGGGATTTCGCATGTTATATAGAAAAGAAGCTCTTTGTAGGCATTCTGCCTACCCATCGGGACCTGACAGCCAACTTCACAGAAGGCACCGTTAGCGGACTTCAAAAAGTCAAGCGAGAGGGTGACTGCAAACCTACGTTCTCCGATGGGAATTACGTTGTGGTATGGATATTGATAGCGAAATATTCAGTTTACAGAGTAAGGGAAAGCTGACAGGCGCTGCTGACATGTCAAACGGTATACGTTTGGGCTGTTGAAGAGTTCATTGTAAAACACTTCAGGTATATTTCGTCCCTCATATTTACACTGGATGGTTTCGTAATTTATTAATGATCTAGCGATGTCCACAAATGTGACTTGTCGTATTGCACTAAAGGAATTTCATTCGATTTTAGCTTTTTTGCGAGTGTACAGTGGAAAAAAAGGTTTAAAAGCTACTATTGACAAACCTTAACGCAGAATTTTGACGTCTTCGGTTTACACTGAAATCACAAGATTATTTGCAAACTTTCTACTCGCAGTTTTCTGAGCGCTATATCTGGCCAGTTTCTTAATAGGATTGTAAACCTAAGGTACGCAAGGAACAAAATGCTTTTAGGATAGAATGGTGTTCATCTTCAATATATTGTACTACCTTGAAACCCTACCCAAGTAGCATTTTGTTGTGACGTTTCTTGTTGTTCCAACGACCTCTGTCCTTTGCAAGCCTGTGGATGCCCTAACGTCGGTTACGGCTATTATTTTGAGGGGTATAAGTGGCAACATTACGCACATCAGACATCACTGCTAAGATAACTAAATTGACTAGGACTCTCATCCGGTAAGCCTTGGAGCCACTATTCTTGAAGTTAATTGATTTCAATATAACTTCAAACCGAAATTTCTGCTGACCCTCGGCCAACGTTTTTCCTCGGTATGCGGCTAAGTGTTTGAAATTGTCTTTCTTTGTACTTCTTCAGACCTTGGTAAAAGGTGTCCCAGTGGAGTTTTCTGGCAAGACCCCTAGCGAAACACTTTTAAGCTATACATATCATTCTCTTGTATGTTTTGAGTATGCGTTTGATATTCCTGTTGGACATTCCATCAAATGGCTGGTTCTCAGCACGGAATGCCCAGGTTCGAACTTACACTACAGTGTGTCCCTAACATTTTCTGGCAAATACGTTACCTATCACGGGGACACGTATCATTCTCCTAGCTGATAGCAAACGGCTTTGTATAGCCAATAAATAAACAAAAATAATAATAATAGACTGTATCTACCAACAGCATCCTGGTAAGATTTTTTTATTTTGAATGTACTGAAAAAGGACACTTTTCCTAAAGTTTGCAAGTTACACAAGCACAGTTGTAGAAAATAGTTAAACTGTTTCGTTTACATTCTATGTATTATACCCGTGTTTTGATGAATTTTTATGCTTTTTTTAATCGTAATATAACATCGTAGCTAATAAAAGTGTTTTTTTTTCGGCTGAAAAGTACATTGTACGTACACGAGCTCAACCGAGAACGTGGGTGAGAAGATTAACACATAATACACCGATCATGTTGGAAGCCGCTAATAAACTAATATTATGATTTAAATATAATGTGCCCTAGATATCCTGCAAGCTTAATATTGGCTCACTGAAGGCTACCTATGCTTCATCAGTTAAGGGCTTCAATCTGCGTGGTGATATAGCACATCCAGTCATTACAGCGGATTTCGCGGACTCTTCGCTAATATTCGAGGCCAAAGAGATTAAATCGGCTGGAAGTCGGCCTCATATGAATGCACTCGTGGTCGATAGGTAATTTTTTTCGAAAGATTACGATGCTATGCAAACGTAGGACCCATGGCTCGTTGAGTTATAGTCACACGCTGCATTACCGAAAGAATTAGCACAACGAACGTTTTGGTAATGGCCTTCATTAGCAAAAGACCTTCAAATAAAGAATAACCTAGCTACATTATAATTCATATACTTTTACTACAAGATGTTATCAATAGCTATTAGTGGTTGATATATCACATCGAGTTCAGTCGAAAACTAGCGAAAGAAGTTCACACCACTAAAATAGATGGCTGTTTCGAGGTCTCGATGACGGTACTCAGTTTCACCTTCCTTCCTTAATTTAAGGACCATGATGAACTGCATTTTATCTAATTTAACTTTTATCAAATTCGTTATCATGTATAACAGCTTAAGATGCGCGATCCATTACGAGTCTTTGGGGCTTAACGAAGAGCGGGACCAACTTTTCCGGGACTGCATCACACGCGGTATCTTGCCTCAGATACTTGATCTAATCAATATCCGTTTGTATCGTGCATTGTATGACGCCCTGCGTCAACAGGACGTTAGTATTCCCGACGTTCGCATCAATGAAACCACTGAATAAGCCGTAACTAATTGATTAATAAATAAGCCGTGTTCCTCAACAATCACGAATTATTTTTTCAATCTTAATTGCACGATGTATTTGTGTATATTATATATTGGTAGCAATAATTATCATTTTCAATATATCGAAAGTGGGTGGCCCCAATAAGGGCCATTTTCCCGTGAAATAACTCAGCTTCTGAAGCACGTCCTTCGTGGATACGCCAGAGCCATGACAGGCAATCTCTGGAAACGAAGGTCAATCTCAAGACTTTGAAGGACTTTACGTATCAGATAGTGGAAGAGCAGCTTGCGGATGAATAGTTCAGTCGACTTTTGGTAAGGACGGATCTTACGAAGAGCGACCGTGCCAGGCCTGTAATGATGCGGCTTCTTGACACCGTTGGTAGTTGAGGTCTACTTACCAGCGGCCTTGGTAGCCAGTTGCTTACGTGGAGCCTTGTCCCCCAGTAAAGCGGTCTGCTTCGTATAAACCATGATTCAATAGTGGGTGCTTCGGTCACGGTACTTACTGAGTTTTGTTGACAAAAAGAGAGGAGAAACAGCTGGTAGCCGCAAAAGCACTAGTTAGCGAGATGCTCCTACAGACAAAACGCAACCTTTGCCGACATCGTTGTAGGAATTATGTGAACTCGTCGGATCATTTTTGGCACGTCAAACAATCTAAGTTGGAGGAATGTGTATGCCCACTAGAAGTCAATGGCCAACTTTCAGAGGCTTCCAACATTTGACTTCGCTAAATTTTCGAATACTCGTTCATTAGATATTTGGTCTACAAACGACTGTAAAGGTATAACTATTGACTGAATAATCTCAATGAAAAATTAAAGATTGCATATAACTTCTTTAGTCACTTAAAGGTCAGCATATGTCTCCAATTTTATTTTTTCATTAAACCTGTGAAAATGCGTATACGTGTACAATAAGTTTTCATGATAAGATAAAAAAAAAAAGACTATCATCGTGTAATCTTAGTAGTATGTAGTGTATATGTAGAGAAAGACAATTTTTTAAAAGAGACAGTAGTTTTGATCTGGGCTTTTCCTTCTCTTCTTAAAAAGGAAGACAGCCTAGATGTTAGGTAGCGCACCACCCTGGGCGACGGTTACTCAGAGAGAACCTTGTTCAACTCTTCGTCGTTACAGATGACCAACTAAAGGTAACGGAGTATGACCTTGGTTTTCACCTTGTCATGAGCCGCATTATTAGCCAATTCGAGAATCTCAGCACCGATATACCCAAGGACGGCAGTGGGCTACACGGAGTCATGAGTTTCAACATGCTCGGTATAGTGCCTCTTGCGGAACGGACCGTGGATACTGCCGGCAGGTAATTGAAGTCCCGCGCACTCGTGAAACTGGGTCCTGACCTCTGTCTTCGCCTTGTCCGAATATTACGTTGTTTAGAAACGTATAAAAGTAAGAACTGAACTTGCTCCAGGGGTTTTACATACACTTAGTGCTGGCTTGACCTGATCGTGCTGTCTTTCCCAATGGATGCGGCCTACGGTTCGGCATCAAATTGCTCCGAGGTACAAATCACTTGGTTTTATCGTGGAAGCCACACCGCATGCACCGTAAGGAAAAACTTAAGAAAACTGGAAAGATCCAGCAGAAAGTACGTGCCATAGACAAGAAAAAAGCAGCGCGGTAGGAAAGATTTTTTCTCTACCTATATCTACCAAATCTTTGGGGCGGATCCACCGGTATCTCTTCGAAGACTATATAGATCGAACTCTTTCGCGAACGACATCTTCAAAAGGATCGCTGATGAGGCAGCCCGCCTTTTTCGTTGCAACAAAAGGTCAACCACCGCCTCTCAGGCGATTTTAAATCGCAGACTGTTGCTTCCAGGCGAGCTGGCCGAGCAGGCCGTGCCTGAAAGTCTGAGCAATTACACCTCCTTCATGTGAGAAATTATATCACCTTATGCTATTACGTACGTGAAAAGAAATCAATACTCATCGAAAGTCTATAAACAGAACTAAATCGACGAACTATATTTACTTTTCCTGTACTGTACCTTTTACTTTTTCAAAGTCAAGGAACTTCACTAATGGCGTTTTAGTAAGTTTTTATTAATTTTTAAACAGCAACTACCGCTTTGCTGCTTATTTATTTATTTATAACATTACACGAAAGTAGTCTAGAAGTATGACTCATTATTGTTGTTATCTAAGCTAGTTACTTTCTATCATATGATATAAGAATAGCTACTATTGTTTGAAAAGGGGAAGCATTCTTCCACGTAGTTGTACCTTTCAATAAATAGGCCTAATTTATCTTAGACTCAATTTACACTACCAATATCTATATCTTCTCAACAACAATAAGCTCGTCATTTATTTCTAATCACTATGATACCTATGCTTATTCAGCCGAACGACGATCTCTGATTTAAACAAAGTGACCGTACAGACTTTCACAGGAGAAACAAGCACGTTTACGGGGCGTGAAAGCATCTGTTTATAACTAGGTTCATCCTACATTCATCTATATTGAATTAATGATATATTCATTATGCTGAATAATAATTGTCTAGTGACTACTATTACTAACCGACCTCAAGCGATTCCCGCATGGGATCGTGGAGAGCACTTTTTCAACAAAGGTAACCCTCTCTAAGATATATACTGGCGCAATCGAGTGCTACACGTTGTCCTCAAAATCTCGGATACATCGACTGGCTGAACGCGATGTAACATTGCTTTTCGACCTTCCCAAAATAGCAGTGCGCGGTGTCTATAGAACACGTTTTTTGCTTTATATATATATATATATATATATGGTTGTATAAATTGCTCTTCAATATCTATTAAAACATACTTTTCAGTCTTCCATCTATCGTCTGAAAATAGGATAAGTTTAATTTAGAAAGTTATCACATTTGAAAACTATTATCAGAGTTTGATCAGTCTAGAGTACCTTCTTCGTTTAAGTTAGTAAGAAAAGATAAGTAAGTTATACTGACTAAGGTGCTGTCCGAAAGTAGACCGGAGACTTTCGGCACAATTAATTTTACAGGAAGACCGTATCCAACTAAGGGCATTAATTGTATTGCCAAAACCGCTGTACCACTCGCTTTTCGGGTTTAAGTTCCTTTTTCACTGCAAATGAAATTAACGCAATTATGAGACACTCGATCGCGCTCAAAAGAACAGTTTTTGGTGTACAGAGAGAGAGAGAGAGAGAGAGAGAGAGAGAGAGAGACAGAGAGCTTCGGCCGATGCAGGCCACTTCTATAGTCCCGTTCAGAAACTCTTCCTCAAACGTCGCTTCCCACTATTACTGTAAACCCCACCAAAGCCACTGTAGAGTTTCCATTCGCGTTATAAAGCTTTTGTTTTATTGGTTTTCCCCTCAACCGCGAGCTCCTATGTAGTCTAGTCGAGGGGTCTCCTATAAGGCCTTTCTTTATGCTACGGTCGCCACCAGCCTACCACGTAATCGACCACATGGCACGGGCACTAAAAATGTCAACGCTATCGAATCCCCATATGTCTACCCTGTCAGAAGTAGACTTCCCTACTATGTTAGTTAGATTCGAATTGAACAGTTGCCCTCTATCAGTGTCATCTATTCGTCTTTAGTTCACACTTTCTAGTTGTGCCAGTTCAACTCCGTGCGTGAACGTTATGCGAATGTGCTCTATAATAATAAACTCGATAGATGAATTGGAATATCAAGGTACTGAAGTTTCTACGGTGAAGTACTCTGGCACAAAGATGCCACGTGGCTAGGACTCAGCTCTACTACGTCGTTGTTGGGACTGAAGATGTTTTTTTATTTAGCCGAGATTGGGCCAGAACCACGACAAGATGCAAACATGTTGCGTCAAAACATGTTTCCTTTTTGGATTAGGGTATGGCAATTGTTGGACTCTTGACAATTTGGATACTAGTACTGATCAGAGATCGCGGGGTCTGAAAGCGGAGAACAATCTGCAGAAGGTATCGCATTCGACAAAATTCTGTTCCGATCTTCAATTCAGTGTCAAAACTACATCAGAAATAGGGCTGAGACAAAGCCGATGATTCTTGTTGTACATGTACAGATTCACGGGGTGTACATTCTTCTGTGAATGTATGGTTATTAGCTTGTGTACAGATTGTGTCACCTTGTTTTCATATAGTAGGGTTTTTTTGCATGTCCCCGCGAACATTACAGCTTATGGATGGCTTTAAGAGAGCCTGTTAATAGCTTTAGGGCTCATTTCCTTTCTTGCTATTATTGTTGTGAAGTTGGTGTTGACTTTCGATTCGCCTCGCCGCCGTATCGTTTTCAGTGATGACCTCATACAGTTCCGTCATACCTTCGAGCCGAGAAGTTAGACTGGAGGGCAATTTAACGGAGCGTCCTCAGTGATCTGTTTAAGAATGAATACATACAAGGTTTGTTTGAAAGAAGATCAGTAACCTTTTTTTCCATCGATCTAATGCCTAACGCGGTTCTCTAGGTAACATTCAGAAGGCTTTCTGAGTTGTCGCTATGCCATATCGATTTGCAGATTAGCTATTTAAATAGACATAGATTTGACCCTCTATGCCGTTAGGGTTGAAGCCGTTGCTACCCTCAATAATAGCAGCTGTTATCTAGGAAATTTATGCACGCGTACCTGCAATAATGGATATTGCCATTGTCGCTTTCAAAACGCTTACTTAAAGGACACAGTTTTATGACTTTGTGACCTCAAGGCTATTTTGGCTTAGTGTAAGACAGCCTGATCGACAGTTTTGTCCAAGCTTTACCTGAAAGAGTCGCCTCGTACATCTGTCTGAGCCTAGATCATGTGAACAAGTATCAATCAAAAGGGATATCGCTGGACTAATGCTACCAGCGTATTCAATGTTATAATAGAAAGAGGTTCATTTCGTTGCTCAGCGTATAACATTTGCATTGCGTAGAGTAACTAATACTAACAATAATTATCCTGAGTCTTGGCAACCGACGAATGTCATCGAAAGCGCTATTGTACTTGAAAATATTGTAGCTACTCTATAAACAGATCTGAAGTGAAATAGAGGTCAACGCCGAAACAATTGACGAGGTTCGGGGACTCGTCCCTCGTGAACTGCGTTGCCCTTACCTTAGACTTCTTCTCATCTAGGCAGCCATCATCGACACCGTTGCAGTCAGTTCCATTGTCGTCGTCAGGTTCGCCTTTGAGATCGCAAAGATGCGAAACAATAGCAGCTGTTACGCCATCGCCCAAGCAATTGTTCACGGTTCGACAACGATCCCTATAAAAGATGCCACAGATCGCGATACGCGTACGAACGATTCCGCATCGTTAGTAATCAACTGATCAAGATTCTAAAGACAGACAGACGTAAAAATTGTCAATACTGAAACCGGTGTCGGTAGGCCGCCGATCCGCATTACGCGACAGAGTTTCTCGTAACAGGCAGTTATTAAGGTTAGCTTTTGTTCTCTACAAGCATGGCCATTTTTTATGCAGGCTAAAGCACTATAGAACCGGCATGATGCACGTTCCCATGATGATTTATTTTGCACAGTCATTCCATGAGTCGTATCGACATTTAGACATAGCGCATAACGAAAGGCAATGAATAATGATTATGATGGTTTTTAGGGAAGCTTTCTAAAATAATATAGATTGACTTTTAGCACTTTATTTCAAACATGTGAAACCTCTCACCCTTCAAATTTGATCTAAAATTGAATACATACAGTAGCCATTCAGTGGTGAAGAGTAAGCTGACATCGCTGAGGGGTGCCCCGATGACCGAAAGGGTCATCGCCATAAGGAAGAGAGCTGCTGAAGGCACTGAGGTAGCTGCAATCGATACGGCTGTTGAGGTGATTCTGCAAATATAGACGTAGGACAGAAAAGCAATTGACAGTGTAGTTTCGCTAGCCCCTACCTCCATTCCTCCGCCTCCCCGTGCTTTTTTTCAATGCAACAAATATACTCACTGAAAATGATTTTCTATGTGCAGCGAGTAAAATAGCTACGGTAGAATAGAAACAGCGTTTAGGTCGAAAAGTGTATGAATTTTCTGAGAAATCGAGTCCTTTTTTTCTTCGGAACGAGAAGAGACATTGAAGTGGCACAACTTATGGATTAGTGTTAGCAAATAAATAATAAAAGAATAAATTATAACTAAACGATATACGTACAACACAGCGAAGTAGTCGCTCAGTTCAAGGGAGATGTTATTCATCTGGGCAATGAACATCGTCGCAGCCGCGATAAAGCAGGCTGTTCCGTTCATGTTTACCTAAAATAATATAGGTACATTCATCTTAATGCAATTACCGCCGTGTCAAGGACGCCTCTTTGCAGTGTCGATACTTGGCGGTATTGAAATTCAGTTTGTACCTATGATGTCTGCTGGCCCGTAGACCTGATCGCTATTATTGATTCAATGCTGGGTATTTTCGGCCGCTCACCTATGTTGCGTAAAACCATATCGATAAACCAGTACATTGTACACGACTCACAGTGACTCCGATGGGTATTACAAATTTAGCTACACGTTTGTCCACCCCGCACTTGTCTTCCAGTGCGCGCAGCATCAGGGGCATCACCGGAGCGCTGTGAAAAGCGAAGTTCGATAATGGCTATCGTAATTTAGACAGCACTAAGCTTGTATGGCTTTGAAACAACTCTATCCGCATTAATAAAGAATAACTAACTGTTCCCTGTCCTTGAGACGCACCTGGCAGCACAAACGAAGGCACACATGCCAGGATAGGCTAACTGTAAGAGAAGCTTGAACGGATTGCCTCGTGTTAGAACAAAGTAGAGGATCGGCTGTACACCGAACAATTCGACCGACAGAGCAGATACGACTGTCAAGATAAAGAGCGCCATTTGATGAAAAAGCAGAAGGATGTCACCAGCTTCAAGGATCCTCGCGCACAGCAGGGAACAAACTCCGACTGGCGTGAACCTGCGAAACGAATTAAGGGAATAAACAAGGTTAAAGAAGAGTTGATTATTAGCTCCTGGTAATATATCGAAGAAGTATACGCAACGTAATTGGCTGGTTGAGTTATTTTTCCGTAACGGTGGTTGTTCTACGGGCAGCTTCCTCGTCACATTCTAATGACCCTGGGAGAACGAGTCAAGTTGATGAACCAAGCTCTTGGATCGGAAGCTATTCGAGGGTTGTCCGCTCTGTCTTTGTATGCATTCCGAACACGAGGCTCGTAGCTAATCACCATTTGTCAGAAACTAATGTATGACCTACGACGTTATGATCACAACTTTACGTTTGTGGCAGTATGATCCGTCTGCTATATTCCTGATCGTTCCTAAATTCAACGGAGCGACTGGGCTATGCCCAGTTCGATGGCGCTGTAAGTGTCATATGTGAAACGAATACTGCCGTTTATCGTTGGATACTAAGGGAGCATTGAAACGATATGAATAGTGTAGGTTGTATTATACAGACTTCTCCAGTTTGGCCAGTTAACTAGTTCTTCTGTGAGCTATTATGTCCGCAGCAGGTTTCAGACACTAACCACATAACAATTCCGACAAGTTTCATTATGACAGAATCCAAGGCAGAGAAAAAATGCTTGAGAGGGTCCGCCGGAGTGCCCATCGAGCCAATTGTCGAGCCAAAGGCAATGCAGAAAACGATCAGTCCTGAAATGAGTAAGTCACACAAACAAGCCCCGCTACAATTACCCAAACGTTCTGATCTGACGAAACCCCAAAATAAAAATAATTGTCATGCATCCGTTCCCTCAAAAGTCTAATAATAATAATAATATAAAACATAATTAACGATAGTAACTCATGGTGATGCGAATGATTGATTATAATAGACTCACCGAGAGAATTTGTCCCTCCACGCACATGCCACACCCTCTTGGAGATCTCCTTCACACTGCCATCCAGCTGCGTCTGATTCTTGCTCTGGTAAGCGGAGTAGCCCTGTAGAAAGGGACGAAGTCGTAAACGACAACACAACATGAATGGAGTTTATATTTAGGTACACGAAAAGTCCATCGTTTGGTGTCGCACCGGCGGTATGGAATTGACAGCCGAAGTTCGAATTCACCACACGTTTTTTTTTTTTTGTTTTTTGTTCCATGTCTGATTGAAACAAACTTTGGTTAGGGGGTGTGCCTGTTTTCTGCTTCTCTATATAGAGAATGTTATGATGAGTTGTGTGCCAATATGTCAGTAAAATTCAACTGGTTATTAGGTGAGTATGAGAGACAATGGCTGTGATGGATGATGAACTCTTTGGTAATCAGCTCTCTGAGCATTTAGTTAATCCCCGAACGTTATCCGTTCTTTTGGCAATTCCATCCTAATTCGAGTTAGAAATAGTTGGTAACTTGAAGATGATTGCTGAGATAAAGTTGGAATGAACCAAATGTGTTTCACCTATGGAATCGATTGTTGTGTTCAAAACACTGCGCCACAATGGTGACACACTGGGACACAAGAATCTTACGAAGCTACCGTGGACATGTTGTGAAGCCTCTGTGTATATCTTAAAGCTGGGCGAAGGAATAAATTCTCAATTTTCTGTGGAGTTTGGATTGGCTCCAACGTGAGAAATCGCTGAGAATTCCACTTACGCTATGGGTCGTGGCCTCGATCAGGTTCTCGGGGAATGCATTTCTGAAAATGGCGATGGGTCGGACCATCAAATGCACCACATGTATTATCTATCGCACTACCTATTTATGTCTACTAATGGCTATGGTTACAAATGAATAAAGCAATTAATGATAACTCGGATTGCCTATTTATTCCGTCCTAGCACGATGATCACTGGAGAATTTCCACTGTTTTCTGTATTGTACAGTTGATGCATATTGAAGCTTCGGCTGATTTAATCGTATACTAGACTTGGCAATATATATTTCATACTTAAGAGCAATTCGGATTGAACCTAAAATCGATTGTCCTGTTATATAAAAGTAATCATATAAAAACACTATGCTGCATAATATCTAGAGTTTATAGATATGTTTTACTGTGACAGCTTTTTTGTGCCGTTACTATGAGTATTGAAATTATACATGTAGCTTGCCGCTAGGACATTAATTAAGTGTTAGGAATAATATAGAAAATTTTATCATTTTAATTTACTCGCTCTTAAACTAACTAATCTACTATTCAACAGTATTTCAAAGCTATGGAAGCTAAACTAGACGATATATTTAGCATTCAACTAATACGTTCTACTGAAAAAGCATTTTTCATCCTGAATTTTTATCACTGGACGCATGCTAGCTACAAAAAAAGCCTACTGCTATATTAGCTACTAACGAAGTGGATACTTAGCAGGTCCTAAATAGCTTATATTGAAGTGTACGTATATATATGCATCTATGTGTCAAGCAATGCTCGTATTAATGTGCTCATGACACTCATGAAACAAAGAAACTTTAGGCGACTCTTTTATACCTGATGAGATCCAGGAACGTGTCGGTCAGGGTGGGAGTTTTCTGACTCTGTTGCCGGCTGGTGTCTTCACCGACCAAACCACTCATGTCCCTTCCAGGATAAATGGCGGTCACGAAGCATAACCCGATCAGGGCTGAGATCAACGATGTCAGCATGAAGATCGAAAGCGTCAATAAGGCCATTTTACCCTGGGCCTTACCGGACAGATTGGCGCTGCCTGCAGCGATCGATACCAAAAGACGGGATATCGACAAAGCGCACAGCACGGGCGCGAAGACGCATCGACGTACACATGGAGAGACGCAATACAGATTAATATGAAAAAGATCATCATCGTCAGATTCAGCATACTGATGGTCACGCTGTGAAAGTACTATTATCTCACTTGTACCGCAGGTACAGTTATGTTGCGGCCATAATGATTAAAAGGCACCATCACTGCCTACGGAAACACTGGGAGACACAGGCTTTTAGTGCGAAGTATTCGGTTTCATTTGAAGCTATCGTGTGTGAGGGACATTCCATAAAAAGATTTGTCATATACATATATTCAGTTAAATGTGTACTCGCGGTTATGAATCCAGTTCGTATTGAATATACAAAGGATTTTACGGTAATTGGTAAAGTTTGCGGATATTTCTTTAACAGTCCTCGCTTTCTGCTCCGGATGGATCAATGGGGTAGCTTGTTTAAATTTTAATGTCATGCTGTTTACATTTTGCTTTTACATAGGCTTACATATATTTGCTCTGTTAATGCGACAATTACTGTCAGTAGCACCGAGCTCGAACTCCTCATCGACTACGTCTTGCAACGTTACAAGTTCAGAGCTATTCGTGACGTACAAACACTAGCGTTTTTTGAGCATTAACATACGCTTGTCACGATGAAAGCAGATATTGAACTCTGCTTTACTTAAAGGCAAAAGCTCAACCTCCTAATCGTTAGCGAAGTCCTGACCGCCTGAGCAAGGGGGTAATCTCATGGATAGAAAATCACGGTCAGAACCACTGCGATTGTTCCTTTCACCGATCTCGGATACGTATAGAGGAAAACGAGTCATTTACGTCGATTAATTATCTAGGTACTCACTAGATAATAAGCGCTAGCTTTAATAGCCATCTCTGGTCTCCGCGTTTTTCCGAATGGGTCTGTATTTGATAACGAGCCCAAAGTGCGGTCCGCTGGAATCGAACTCATGGCAAGTCTAGTTTCACCTTAGACGTGATCAGTAGTTTTCGTAGATCACATAAAAAATACTGTTGACTGTTATCCACGATATGGGCCGCAACGTTTTAGTAGCCTCCAATAGGTGAAATTCACTAGTTAGTCATAGATGATTTTTGAAGTGGTACTCGGTTAATTATTGTTATTGTTTTTATTGCCATATGATAGTATACTTTTTCCATAGTGCGTATTATATACAAATATAGAGCACATGTCCATAAGGAAGGATATTTGATTCAGATAGCGTTATACGTCGTGTCAGTTGACGACGTTGTTTTTTATACAAGCATCCTTCTGCCTGCCATATATGGCTGGCTGGCGTTTTGGAACTCCATTTATGCATATGGCGGTAATTTACCAATTAGCTGCCAATGTGATAGCCGCCGGTTAGAGAGACGGCGCCTCGGTACGTTGAGTTCCTTGATTCAGCTAACCGGCGTCAACCGTCATGGGCTTCTCTGCTCGAAAGAGCTTCGACCCGTCCTTGGACTCAAGGTACATTTACGAGACAAAAAAGCGAGCCTAATGTCGATATCGGTCTAGGACAGGGTTAAGGGACGTACAATTTCCGAAAATGTACAAACAATATGCGCGGGCGGAACACTTGAATTTGGCTAGCGGAAAGGTCAAAATCGAGTCGACCATATTCGAAGTATTCTCACATGTTGCAAAGCCGACCCCGTCATTGTTTCGAATTTTGTCTGCACAATAACAGAACATATAGCAAACGGGACTGCAATAAATTGATTTGTATATCTATGGATATATATTTGCTAATCTGAAAGTTATTTTACACTTACTTAGGTACATCAAAACATACGTATACGATACACGGTGTTGCCAACGGGTAAGTAAGGGCAATCACAGACTTGGCCCTTGATAGCTTAACAAATATCGGCAATAAAAATTAAGCCGACTTACATACTCATTTTTCTTGTACACAATCAATCAATGTGGATCTATCAAAAAAAGACTTAGTTAAAAATAGAACAGTCACTTAACTCGGTTACGGTATTCGAATAAATGTGTTAGCTTATATCAATGGACGCTCGCCTCGTTGTTGTACTAGTGCTTTATCTACATAATTAACTTAAACTTGTGTCGTCTGAACTACAAGCACGATACCGATGGTTGAATCGATCTGGAACGTACGCCGCCATACACATTGCGTACTGGTTCAAGTTAGGTAAGCGAAGCTTCTAATGCGGCTCGACATTTCGCGAGCTAGAAAACTAACTAAGGTAGAGCAGATAAATAAACTGCCTGAAACCTTATAATTTCCATGTACCCGAAACGATTGTAGCTATCATCATAGGCAGAATGAGTAATCGAAGACAGCGCATAAACACTTCTCCAGGCAATTCGACAAACGAGATCATCTGAACACTTGGTTCGAGCGACCGTAACGCTACGCCAAGTACGATTCCGGCAATAACACCTGAAATACAAAAATAATAACTGTGTTTATATGTATTTGCGATTCTTGCCATCGTCAGTGGCAACATTCACTATTTATTGCATTGCCTCTATAAAGTGGTAAGCAAACCAAATCAAATCAAATAGGCCCATACTCGATACAAAGCTTCTTTAACAGCCCAACATAATCGTACGAACTTAGGATAATTACGATAGACTTAGGATAGTTTTTTTTTTTCTATAGCAGGTTAAAAATTTAATATACTTCAACCAGATAGCATGTTAAGCTGGTGAATGTAAAACTACGCATTACCAATGTCAGTTAACGCTTTGGATACGGGGGTCAATCTTGTGTTAGTCATTAATCTCCCATTTGGTGTTGTCTTGTTTAAAACGATCAACCGGTCTGATGACGAGCAGCCCGTGGAACGGACGTGAAAACCACATCATCTCATTCATTTTCGGAGTAATTCTTAACCACAATTTACCTCTAGCCGTAAGATTACGTAATGTATTGCTGTTTTCGGCATAGCAAAACAAGCATTTACGCAGACTTCCATCCAAACACCACTAATCGGGAGAGAACGGCCACGCTATGGGACTTTTCTATTAACCCATCGATTGAAGCAGGCCAAAACCCAGTGGGTGCACAGACGGCGTAGCAGGTAAGCTAAGCAACAATTTACAAGGCGAAGATTACGCGCCATAGTGTACACTGCTGTATGATGCTCCTCTTCTACACGTTGGTTTCTCGGTTCTCCTAGGTCAGATCTACGACTCAATCTGACCTTGGGGTCAACCGACAAAGGATCCTGAGGCGAATAATTGTCTACAATTATACTGACATTATCTGCAATATTATGTCCCTCCTCCCCCTCTCGATTTACCACGGCTCGTTCATGTGTCCCCTTTCTCTCCTCTTTATCCCACCGTTGTATCTTTTCGCTGTTCCAATTAAGCGACTAGAAGATTCGCTCTAGACAACGCGAGGTCCCTCTAACCTAAGCACACCCTGGTCACAAAACAGACCCGAAGAAAATCTCTTGCATGCCTGTGATAGTAAAGGCCTAGAGGCCTATGCCATACACGATTAACTAGCTAGCAAGTCGGGGTGGTAAACACCCAGTAGACAATACCTAATTTGCGCGTCACAAACGATCTGAAATGTGGCACAGTTCTATACGATGCAGCTTACATCGTCGGCTTATTAAAACGTTCTCGTTGCAAAAACTGATAGTAAAGTTCGAGTACAATAATGCACTTCGCCGATGCACCGGCAAGTACGGCTTCATTTTTCCCGTACGTTAACTGGACATCGACCTCAATAGTCTGAAATGTGTGTGACATGCTCGGGTTCTTCGTATGTTACACGTGTCTTTAAAAAAATTATATAATCAAAAAAAATCTTCAGGTACATTCTTACATTTGCCTGTTGCGGTAGCTATCGCATTTGCAAAACCTGTGCTTGCCGCTGTTGGCATCGGGAATGCAACACGATCATATTCCCTAGGCTTATGTTGAGTGGGCGTTTGCCTTCCTCAGTAAAGCCTTCAGAGAATGACATGCAGTAAGTAGACGAAAAGTCTATGCGATACAGAGTTGCCTACAGGTCTCCTGCAGCTGTTACTGCCGATGTTGCAAGAGACATTAAAAGCTTGAATTTCCATTGAGCCAATGAGGCAGCACCCTGAAAGGTCCGCGCTTCGTCTCGGTTCATTTTCACAGTACGAGACAAAGTAGAAGTCGCACATTTGTACATATTGCGTCGAGACGCGATGGACTCAATCTGAGTAGTTGTAACTCGAACTCTAATCATTACCATAGTTCTCATTATTGCAGCGCTATCTTGCAGTTCTTGTCACTGTAGAATGTGAACTAAGGTAGCTGAGCTGACGATGCCCGTCCATGATAGTTGGTAGAGAGCGACTGACCCTCTCAAGACACCTTGACAATCTCGCTCAGCCCACAGGCTGGACTGCGCTGACCAGACAGAAAAATAGGCGGCCAACATCTTTATCTAGGCTATTTAGGCGGGCGGATGCATAGCTTGTACTGCTTGGTACAAGTGAGCTTATAGCATCGACTTCGACTCGACGAATTGATCGCGGAATCATCTAGCTTGTTTTAGAAAATATAGCTGCTATTTGTAACTAGCTGCTCAGGATAATGAGTAAATTGTCTTCGTTCATATATCCAAAGGCACTTTTGCTCTTCCAATGGGATCTAAGTTTCATTTTTTCACATTACCTTCTAAGGCAGCACCAGTCTACGGTTTATAGTATCCGAGACAACAAGACCTATCGTGCGCATGCTTGGCCTGTACAAATCAACTACAGAATTCGTAAATCATGTATGCCGTCCTAGCCAATTCCCCGAAAGGCCGCGATGTGACTAATGTGCTAATCGAGAGTGTATGACAAGAGTATGATGTTACTTCACGTTGCTGCTAAACTCCGTCCGTGCGCGACCCTTAAGAGCTGGCTTCGAGTATGCTCCGTGCACATACATCATCTGGATAGCTACACTAACGCAGGCTCAAACTATACCCTTGAAACAATCTAGGCCTTAGAAAGGACGTCCTGGGAGCATCGACTGCGCGATGATGGGCTATCGGACAGCCACCGAACGAGTAAAGCAATAGGGGGCAGGGCAGGACAGGACAGGACATACTTCGTATGTTGCGATAGCCAGCAGAAAATAGGAATAGCTTATTTTCTCGCCTGCTCTTATAATTGTCCATGTTTGCTTGCGTGAATGTCACGACCCTTCTCTTCAGTCGAAGATGTATCATATCGAAAATCAGCAATCGCTCAATTTCAATAATGAAATTCAAGCGTTCGTAACTTCGAACGCCTTCTGACCAGCCTCGGTTTTTTTCTTTGAATCTACTCTTCAGTTTTCTATTACATAAAGTATACGCTAAATCGCTATACCGATTAGATTTTTCTCCATTAGATTTCTCCAGGGTGGTTCATACCAATAGATACTAAGCTGCGTCGTAAATTTTTAATAAAAGTGTAGTGGTCGCCGGGACTTGTCATGACGATGCGACAACATGGCGGGTCCCGTTCAACCCTAGTTACATACCACCTGCGTTCTGGTATGTCTCGTTAGGAGCAGAGAAATCGAAGAAGATCCGAAGAGTTAAAAATAATAATGAAGTACCTATTCAAATCTTCACGACAACAAAATGCTAACTGGACTGGTGGTACAGTGAGTAGTCTATTGCGTTCATGGATGCGGTTAAAGGCATGGAAGGTCATATGTATTTGTATATAAAAACAACTACATAACTCAACGGAAGTGAGAATCGCGCGTTTTAATCAGTGGACCAGTACAAACAGCACGCAGATGTTAGCGCACACATGCCATTTTAGATCGATTGATAAGGTAGCGATTCCGCACTCGAACTTGAAAGGCAAACTATCACGCTCAAATACGCTGACAAAGCAGTCTTCAATGACAGTAGGTACATTGTACTTTTGTAGTATTTGAACAATTTGGCCTGTGTGCCATCCGTGGTTATCACTACTCCTTGCAACTTGATATTTTTCTTATTTTAATCACGTTACATTATACGGCTCTACTGAGGTTAGACAATTCCGCCATACGCCATCATATTTCCATCATTCTAATCACGTGAGCGCCTCTTCATTTCGTCTTTTCTCCTTGGCACGTTGAAACGTATCGTACGTATATTACTCTACTGAACGATTTCAACTCACCAAAGACAGTGGTAACGAGGAAAAAATTCTTCCGAATTACAGTAGCAATCATAGTCACGATTGTCGACATATCCGAATCGCTAGAAACTGCGTCGGCCTGATGCCTGCAAAGGATCGACAATTACAGCTTTGTTTTAAACGAAGATAAGCCATAGTAACTGCTATAGCAAAGCTAGAAAATCAAACACAGGAACCATCGTTTGTGGGAAAGTCAACATAAATTGAGCCTTGACATATTCTTAGATAACGAATACAATTAACAAAGCAAGCAAGCTTCTATTGAAAAGCCCGAGGCATGAACAAGTGACGATGGCCGTGTTACGAAAAAAACACGTCTTGTACGTTGTTGTTTTGTTTCTAGATTTAATAGCTATTTCTAGCTAATCAACTCGCAGTAAGCGTTACGCGCACATATCTCTAAGGAACTTTCAAATGTCCATCGCAGAAAGAACGATTCGTGTTTAACAAAATTAACTTAAATTTAATGGTTTAAACTAACGATTCTGGCACAGCGGCATCGTTTTAGGTCAATGCATGTTTCGTGTGCTTTGTTGACACAGCTGTGCGCGCATACGAAAGCGTCACAATATGGCCAGTCTGTCAAGAATATTAAATAAGACACTACAAAATTCTTAATTTTTGACACCAAGTAGAAATTCAGTGTGAATTATGAGTACTTTATTTCTGTCTTAGAATGATGTACTTCATGCAAGCGCATTCAGAGGATTGAAGGGTAATTATTGGACGCTCTGGAAACCAAATCCACACTATCTGTAGTGTAGTAAAGAGTATTAAATAATAACAAGGTCTTAGTAATTTATCTTCGAATAGTCCTAATGGATCAATCCCGTCACGCAGAAGATCATCACCTAATTAAAAAGTCTCAAATCGTTTAATACTCAAGTTTTGATCCAACTTTGGCCTAGGCTAGAGAAACTACAGCGGTTTCGGGAGAAATGATTCGAAGAAGGCAACTCAATAAAGCATCTGAGTTATGCCAGCATTCTAGGGGTTTAGATCGAACAGCGAAAGTATATAGTCTTGCATCCCGTCACTAAAAATCTCGTACGTCTTTAACTCGATGTAGTCTAGACTATACCTTAATTTTAAATAAGTTAGACTACAAGCTCAAAACTGGATAACTATTTAATTTTTCTCTTGTATGCAATTAAAATATATAAAAAACAAGAAAATTACAATTATCAATTATAATGATTTGGAATATCGACCGGCACCCTGCAGCCTTCGAATCAGCGTACCTCCATGTCATTAATTTAGCGAGTTTATCCATACGGAGCATTGTTCGTATCTCTCTATGTTCCGAGTTCTACGTCTTGCAGCCGTTCGACGTAATTCCGTCAGATGGCTAGTTCCCAGCACGAAGCAAAGCGTGTCCGTTCCCAGGCTCGACTCTATACTACAACGTATCCCTAATATTATCAGGCAATTTCCATACCCACTAAGCTATGATGGAAACCTTACTCATGTCTAACTCCTGGCCGCAAGAACTTTGATCCTATCTGATGGGAGATACAACGATTTGCGAAGTCACATCATTTCCCGATACGTCGAGTGTACCTGTAGATTGCTATATATATATATATATATATATATATATATATATATAGATAACTAGAATTACACGTCTTTTACTGAATGGAAAATTTCCACGGCGGAGTAGTTGTTACAACACGAGCGTTTAAAATAGAATGAGGGTTGTTGTCGGTGCATTGTTCCTGTATAGCGCGGCCGGAACTTCGGCCTAAGTCAGAATAGAACAGATTTTCTGTAAAAGCAACGACAGCACTGAGCACTGCCGCAATGGGCGGTCGACGACAGGCAGGCAGACGTTAATGTACGTGAGCCCGATCGTGTCGCTCTTAGGCAAATCTTAAGCAAACTATGGGTCGAGCAAGTAGAAAGCTCGTTTTGCATCGCCGTTATCCAAGGCTACCGAGAAAAAAAAAAAAAAATATTACCCCGAGTTACCGATGGCACAATTCTAATAGCTCAAGCAATCCGTGAAAAGTATAGGGAAAGCGAAAGTGTTTGAAATTTCGTTGCTTGCTTATTGTTTACATTTTTAAAAAAGAATCATCCCAGATATCTACGAGGGCGCATGACAAGCAACGTTTGCATTGGACACTCAGTTACAATGTCGAGTTGTAAATTTTGACCCTTTATAATAATAAGGAAACAAATTTAGATGAGCATAGCCGCTAACAGATGAGATTCACATGTGAGAAATTCGAAATACGACCGAGACACATTTATTTCGTCGTTCCGACTGCAAGCGGGTCCGCACATTTCACATGTCTACGAATGAGTTGAAAACGATAGGCCCCCTTTTCTCGAACGCTTCCAGTTGTGTGAGTTTACTCCATTCAGTTTTTTGGCCGACACTTCGCTCTAATAGCACCCCACAGCAGTAATAACTGCTCGACGGCGATTGCTAACGAGAAATGTTTGTAAGACGAGACAATCAGCCGATTGTTATGGGCAACGCGGGCACGGAAGACACGGAACACGCACTGGACGGTCTATGATAGCAACAAAGGTTAGCTCGGGCGGGCTATAGAAACTTTCCAGTGCTCTAATCACAATGACAACACTCCCGACGCTGCTCGTATAGCCCGCCGGTGACTATCTCATAAGCAAAAATAACTCTGGACCAATGGGTAGCGGCGTCTGTGCTGTCGCAGCTGCAGCCGCAGCGACAAATATAGCCCGAGGCCTAATTTAAGCCAATGGTTCTATTTTTCTCGTGTTTGCAATGGCTTGAAACAATAGCAAATATGTCTACACCGAAAGGAATCGTTGTAGACGGATTATGGCCAGTAGCAGCAGACATATTGTACTGGACTATGAATGTATAGTATAGCACCTTGAGCTTTAAGTGAACGTTGATTAACTATCTTAAGGTTCACTACCACAGAATCAATTGTCCTATTACGTGTTTAGGTAGGTATAAACGATGTGACCTGTGACATGCTTTACTTCGCTTGCAGGGTTTCAACGACAAAAAATGTTAGAGTACACCATGCGTAGTTTTTTTTTTTGTCGTAGTAATCGCCATTAACAAGTATATGGAGTCTGTGCTTCAATACAAAGCGCCCACACTTGCGTACTTGAAAGTCTCGTTTACTTTTAGTTGGTCTTGACCGAATTTTGGTCAACACCTCATGAAGGGTTCATTCAAGCTTCATGGCGAAACGGGGTTTCCAGCCACAGATTTGCTAGCTTACCTACGACGAAGCAGTTTTTATTGATTTTTATATTTTCAGTGTAATGTGGGTAGTTATTAGGCTTGTCCTCCGACTGTAACAAGAAGCCGACTGCTGCATAAGAAGCATGTCTCGCTAATGACCGACAATAGTTATCGTCTAGAGCAATAGAGGAAATATTTATCAAAGTAGGTTGCATAAATACACATCGCACGAAAATTTCAATCAAATGAAAATTTTTAAAATGCTATCGTAACTCGCATATTCCTTTAAACACTGAAAAAAAAAAAATGCCCAGATGGCAAACGACCCTTACTGCTATAGCGATAGCTGGCCTTTATTCGTCCGATCCCTAATACTGGTTTGTAAGCCAATCTAAAATTCGGACAGATAACTTTCTACAGTTTTTGCGTTTTTTAAGTGAATGAAGGAACCTCCTGTCTATGCGTCAGGCCATGCGTCACACAACCAGTCGTGGTGTGGTGACTCGTATCCGTTGTAAAGGCCAGAGGAAAAACAACTTTCTAGAAAGTGGCTTCTTTCTCCGTTATTTCCGAATATTTCCATTTGTTGACACGCCTCTCGCGTTTACTTAAGACACGGCGATAGGGCTGTATGGCGGGTGTAGAATAGAGGCTCTATGTGTCGTTAGGTATCACCATTAGGCATCCTATCACACGGACGGCTGGTCCCTTGTGAAGAGCGACGTCGTCGAAATAGTTTAGTGGGTAACGTAGTTGAGTGCTAACCTTAGGGATACGTTGTGGTCTAGGTTCGAATCCATAGGGCACAGAAAAGAAGCCTAAGGTATTTCTGCACCCGGTGCGAAAACCCTGCGTCCAAATGTTATAAGGTTAGAAGGCTCAGTAGCGTCAGAATGCCAGCCTGTACTAACATGTCGATAGGTACAAATTTCGAATTTTTTTTTTTAATCTCCGCCAAAATTTTACCGGCCAAAAGTTCTAGGTGAACTGATATTCATACGATCTATATACAGGGTGGTGGAAATGTTCTTTAACAGTTTAGAAAAAAATAATTATTTTAAGGTATGTATGTATATATATATATATATATTACTGCAAACATTTAGCGGAAACTGAATTGTGCATGTTGATGCGTACTGAACGTTGACGGGCACAACTAACTTTCAACTGTTAGAAATTGTCGCACGAATTTTCTGTTGTATATTTTGCAAGGTTTATGGGCAAGACGCTATTTTTATTTTGTTTATTATAAAGATCTACGTTAACATCGCGCTTATTGAGCAGACCAACGTTTCCTGAATTGGTATGTATGTATATATCAATGTGTTTGTAATTTTCACTGTAATAACATCAAGGTTATAAGGCTGCCCGGCCAAGAAAACCGCAAGACAGAACTGCCATAGTTGTCCAACACGAACGCTCATGTTCGTGGCGTTTGCTGTATGAGCACGTATCAGACATCACACGTAAGTGACAAAGACGCTTTTTTTTAACATTCTAAAAATAGCCCCAAGTGTTATCCCATATGGAATGGTGGAATGTGTCTGAGATAATAACAAGGCCGTCCTGCCTTTATGACCACTAAAAAAATAAGTACTACCTGGATTAGATTAGGTATGTCCGTAGACTAACATTCGAGGAACACGCGACGTTCTGATTTCTTTCGCTAATTTTCTCAAAAGCAGAAACTAAACTGGGCACAGACGTCACGAATGCATTCACTTTGTAGGTACGTCGTCGCCCCAGAAACTCAACCTCTGGATGCATCGACCTCTTGCCTCGTCCCGCCGGAGACTAGGCCTAGTCTTTTTTGAAAATATATGCAGGGTGGGGTAAAGTGTACTTACAGTGAAAACGTATAAATCAGAAAAATGTTCAACTAATAGTTGTTGTAAAAGCAGGTTAATTAAAGCAGCATCCGCAATATCAACTTCTTGTCATTTCTACTGGATTTACATATCCGTTTCACAGTACATATAAATTCCCTTGTACCCAAACCCCGTATATATGTATGTGTACATATACTGTTTCTATGGCTTCGCTCGCGAGAAACTCTGCCGGCGACTTTTTTCAAATGATGTCGTCGTACAAGCCTTTGTGAAGTCATAATCAATACTTTCATATGAAGTAATCATTAGGTGGCGGTCTTATTCGAACATGGCTGGTCGCGTCTTCTTTTGTGTCGGCCGTGGGTCACTGACTTCAGACTTTGATGCAAAGTACAAGAGTCAAAGCAACGAAAAAATCTGCCTTCACCAACGCCTAACCGTAGGTATTCTTACCGCACCTTTTTCCCATTCAGAGCCGCACTGTCGGTGCATCTAAACGATTTCGATGAGGCAATAAATAGACTTTGATCCCGGAGTTTGCGTTCAACCAAAACCTGCGCAAAGGTCGACATCGGTCAATTTGAATACAATTTTGCTTAGGTTTCTCTAGGTCTTACGGAAATTTGTGTTTTGCCACAATGGGCATCCATTGTTTATACATGTAAAACAGCTTATTTAAAGCCACTTGTTTTGATAAAACTATTGATGCCTAAACACTTGAACATGTTTTCTTTATCGATCGTAAAGTACTGATTATACTTTAAGGGTTCGGTTGCTAGGAAAAACCAGCTGTCCCTCTATGACGCAGCGAAGATGGCGTGTCTCAAGTGCTTTATCAGCCGTCCTTGCCCTGTGACAATAATCGTCGAATGTTTTATTATTTGGCAGCACTTTCGCAAGGCTGGGCTAAAATGTGAGGACTATTTCTGACAGGACAGAATACGCGTGGCAGAGTTTTTCTAGTCTTGGATATGTAGGTCACAAGCCCATTTTCGCTATCTGTAAACTTTCAGATCTATCAACCTTTTTTTTGTTCATTAACTTTCGTCGGAAATCACTTTGAAACGCGAAATACTTCCTTTTTTCGTTTTTTTCGTAGGTAAAGTAGTAAAATATGGTAGAGTTTCAAATACTTAGACTATATTTTACCCGATGTCTATGATGCCTTCATGGATACTCTGCATTGCGCTCCCACTGGCTACGATAAAATGTTCGTCTTTCGCGGCTAAACCAAAAGTGTATGACACGTACGGTATGGTTTGTACGTCAAACGGATTCAAACTTTGGCTACTTGCTATAGCTACGGAGAAAGTTATACATAATATGGTTAGGTCGTTTGTCAAATATGGGTCTGGTTAACCCTCAGACTAAAAGTTTAAGCCCTGAAATGTCATATTGTCCGCGGCCTTTAAATATATTATCGGCAAATGCTCATATGTTGACGAACGGCATTCTATTGATAGCCAAGTCAGACAAAGGCGTTAGCAAGCTGCCCGGTTATATATACGTAAACTTTACTTAATAGTATTCAGACTAGTACTAACATTTTGGCATCTTTCTCGATACTCAATCTGACAGAACTCCCGAAATAGTCATTGACTAGCTATAGGACTATGATATACTGCCGCAAGCGGCACTGTTCGGTGAATCTGGGGGTGCTAGTTGTCCCTTGATCTATACATAAAGCCGTCAGGTTCTCTAATGAGTCCGTGTTGTTTCTAAGACTATCGATGGTTGACTTGTCCCCTGTTATGCCGTAGTCTACACCGGGCACTTGGCGGATCATCCTTTTCATAAATAATTTTTGGCGGCCTGCATATAAACTCGCCTCTCTAAGGTTTCTAGCCCTTTGATCGGCAGGAGGCATACTTAAAACGGTTTCTATTGAACATCTATATGTTATGCTTTACACCGTATGGCACACGAGTGCAGATTATGGTATTTTATTTTTCGCTCGTATTTTTAATCAGTACAGAGTCAACTATGTAACTAAGTTCACTGTAACTTTAGACATCATAGTCATATATTGTGTTACTAATGTTATTGAAACTACATAGTTAAAAGTGTGCATACGTATTGGGTAGCCGTAGTGCCTGCTGCAGAAACTAACATTATTCTTAAGCTTTTCAATATTCATAAATGTTTTTACTTCTCTATTGTAGCCCTCGTTAAGTCTTTAAGAGACTCGTTATTGGCCATCGCTTCAATCGATCGCTCCATCTAGCTGGAATCTCTATCTATCCGTTAGTTGAGTGAACATATAACGTGTATCATGTGTGCATTAGCCAATGATGTCTATGGATTCACTGCCGTTTGTACGGGAATATCGCCAAATGTAATATTCCAACTTCAATTTACAATTGACATCGAAATAGAAACGTTCACCGCGTATACCATAACCCACGTTGCTTAACCCTCACCCTAAAATAGCTATAATTCAGATCTATTATAGTATTTCAAATTTTATATGAAAAAAACAATCCGCAACTTGCACATGATTAGACTCTTTAGCGAGGGCAACATTTTTCGCACAGGAGCGTAGAGAGTAGGTCTATTCATATGGACGTTGCCCCACCATTTAAATGCCAGTGGGCAACCTACATGTCAAACGAGTCAAAGAGATACACGATAACGTGTTCTTAAACTAAACGAATGTTGTTACTAAATATAGATTTATATATATTCGCCGTCCTTCCACCAATACCATTGATGTCCAAAATATTCGCAACATTTAACGAGAACTCAGAACTAGAAAATTCGATGTTTGAATCAGCGCGGGCTTTTATCGCTAGTGCGCTACGACCTATTTATTTATGCGCATTTAATGCGAAATGGCCAAGTAGCTTGTTGAGAGAAAGAAGCTTGCCCAATCCTGGGTTTGCTGCAGGGCAAATGTCGTAGATGTAAATAATCACTATAGTGTTTAAACAGACGAAGCTGTTTTTAAAACAGGAATCCCTTGTTTTAGGCCAACTTCACCTATGAATGCGCTATCGAGCTTTTCAATCCTGTCAGGCTACCGACTGATAAAGCATAGAATCAAAGCAAATCATCAAAATTTTTCTCTTTTTATTAGGAACGCATTTCGTTCATCTTTCGTAACCAATGGATTAACAACTGAATTAAGGTGACCATAAAAATAAGAGTCCTGTTAAACCAAAAAAATTGAAAATTAGTATAAGCTTTCTCTATTAAAAATTCTCTGGATAGGAAGTGTTTCCCTTAAATACGTTTAGCTCGATATCTGATCGTGACCTTTATGTCCAACCTTGTACTCTACTTCTATTTTTTGTGAATGTGTGGATCAGATATATTCATATAGTATATTAAAATGCTTCGATTTGAACAAAATATGCGTAACTAGATATAAATATCTAATTTGTCTGTCGGGCAGACATAACGACATGATATATACTGTAAACGGTTTGTTTTATTCTTAACTTCTATAGTTGTGCTACTGTAGTGCAATATTTTGTCTATGTAGACACATACGTCCGGTATCCGGATCCTGTGTTGCGAATAATGTGCTTGGACATGGAGCACACAGCCCTTTCCGGGACAGAGTTCACCATGGTGCCACCAACCCACGACTGGCACCAGCTTCATCCACTCACTTCGCGCCTTACGAAGCCCCCACCGCTTCAGTAAGTCGACGAATCGTTTGCTTTCTGTGAATCCGCCTTTCGAACTTAGCCCACGTTTAGCGCTTCTCCAATTCTCTTTTAGGCGTCAGTATTCGTCTATAGCGATTTGATCTGCTAAATATTTGCGTGATTGTGTGTTCGCGCACACTAAGCAGGCTCACTTCTACCGTAAAACGGGGCCTGACTTCGCGCGATTTAGTCCTGATGGGCCTCGGTGACAACAACAGCACCGAAGTTTCGTGGCTCTTAGCGATAAAAACTATAGACGAAAACACGCTTCGACTTTTTTCTCGCGATCTGATCACCAACTCGGTTGCCAGTATTTTTCTCGTACTGCCCTCCACCAACTCAAAAACTCTAACAAGAAAACAGCATAGTCCTAAGGCCAAACAGCACTGGAGTTACCACTAACACAATTAACAGTCACCATTGACAGGACAGGACCTCATTACCGCTAGACTCCTATGGCTTGTGACTCGTCTCCAGTTCGTTATGCGCCAGACAACTTTATCACCAACTCAATAGTTACTGACTCAATGAAACCCAGTGCTAGCACAGGCCAATTTCGCCCTTTCTCCAAAGTTCTAGTTAAGTCTGTAGTGGTGGCTGCAGCGCCGCCCTCAGCAGCAGCAGCAGTAGCAGCAGCAGGTTAGATGATGCTGCAAAAGTTTTTTCAGTCGGCAGCAGTAATAGTAAAGGTAGTGGAAATTGCGGTACGATTAAGATGCGAGCGTGTGTGTAGAGGAGGGGTCGCCAAGGGGGGGGGGGGGGCAATCGTGGACCAATGCTCGTGAACTGAGAGAGGCCGCACTTGTTACAACAATAACTGCCTCGTACAGCTCTAACGTAGCCCGAGAAAGAGGTCCGCGCAGACTTCGCCGTTGGCTGCCTCCATTAACGGGCCAGCTGATAGTAGACTTTAATGGGCAGCACAAACACTCTACAGGATACACTCTGTTACAGGCTTCTGGCTCTGGTCTTCTCTTCGCGATTGTCTGCCTCGCGACCTCTGTTTTGTGTATAGACAGTATGGCTGGTAAAGGTCCTCACATAGTTTATCCTTTGTCACTCCTGTACCCACAGCTGCTACTCGGAGACTCACAATGTCATCTGTTCTCGGTACTGTATGTGAGAAACAGTTGTTGTTGTTATTGTCGTCATCGACGATGCTGTTGTCGTTGTTGGCGGCAATGTCCTCATCGGCGACGGCAGGACTCCGCACCGTTGGGCTTCACGAGCCTACAAATGGACCTTCACTAAGAGAACAGAGACAGCGTAGCAGATGCTAAGCCAGCGCAAACGCTTGCTATTCGGCTATAGGCTCGAACACACAGAAGCGAGCGTAACAAACACAGGTTTGGACGACGAGCACTGGCAACGAGCCCCTTGCCAGCTGTCTGTGATACGACTGACTTCTATTGTTGCCACTATTTGGTGTACAGGAAATATGTGCTACTGTCGGCCAGATAGTCACCTACTGTCTGACAACGACGGAACGCTGAACTTCGCCGAAAGCTGATGACGAGCGTTAAGTGACTAGCTAAATGGAAAGAAGGCACATTTAGCTGACGGGACACAACCGTGACTCTAGGCGAGAGCACCAGCCTAGGACACGGGCCGAGTGAGGGGACTACGCAGAGAGTGAGGGTAGGTGCCCACGATAGCCACAACTCAAGAGCAAAAAGCTCACGTGTTTGAAGTGGCCGCCCCACAGACACCGCGACTGTAGGAGAGACCGCATTTCGTGGATAAAATTGTGACAGGTAGTGGATAAGTGCAAAGTATGGAAGGTTCTGTGAGTTCTGACCACATCAACTGCTGCAGAAAAATGTTTTTTTTGATTGGACAAGGAATACCTGTGGGAGACAATTATAATAGTACCATACGCCTTCAATAATAATGATGAGGAAGGGACAATAGCGATATTACGGGTACATGAAATCGACACAGTGTCAATATTGAACCTGTCTAAGATCGATTTGTAGATGGCGGGCCAAGCGACGGAATAAAAATTACTAAAAAATTTTATAAACTACTCTATACCAGTGTTTACTGTAGGTGTGCTTAAATGCATGAGAAGAAATAAAATCCATATTGAAAAGTGAACTGAATGAAGCTCTACTTCATTTGACTTCCTGTAAAAACAAAACAATGTTTGCACCTAAAGATAGGGCCCGTTGCCGGCACGACGTCAGTATTTATTTGACGTGCCAATCGAGATGCCGCATTGAGAGCCAGCTGACGCTCAATCTTTTAAAATCTGCAGAATTACTGATTGAAGCACACTGTGCAGTTACGCATCGGCGAACTAAATGCGATTAATCTGAAATTACCGGCAGTATCTTTCAGTTTGGCTGAGTCATGAAGTCTCAGACAGATTCAAATTTATCAACTAGTGAAATCTTTTTATATAGTACGTGACACCTCATGGAATAAAGGAAGATATAGACAGAACGCTATCATATATTATTATTATTGTTTTCATTACAGGTATTAATTAATTGCTTTTCTTATTCCAAGAAGTCTTTCGGGCCATAATATATGCATTTAATAGAAAGTTATGTACCATTGAAAGGTCAAACAGTATAGCGAGCGTATTCAGAATCAAAACGTTCCTCATTGTCGGTGCGAGCCAAAGTTGTTCTTACAACAAAAAGCTCTGTCCTTCAATAAGCGGAGCGAAGTCGGTTGGTCGCCAGATAGATCATCCCGCTCATTTCGGCCATAAGGAATTAGCGAATACATCTTTACAAGCTATTGTGTCGAAACTGCTAACTAGGTTATGTCAAAGGCAAATGGTTTTCTGCAGAAAGAGAAATTTCTGAGGTATTGCTTAAATAAAACCACCCGATTAATAGTTATAATCGTAATACATTCTGTTTCTTAATAAAAGGGGTTTAGATATGTCGTTACTGTAGTTCATTTTGCAGGTTGTAGCTATGGACTTTGAGAGTCACTATCCGACTGTATATAAGATTTTGGTAATCACATAATATAATGATGCATAGAACGACGTAGGTTTGCACTTGTCAACCTGCAAACAAAGGTTATTAAGACCTTTGGCTAAACTGACCTTCAACTTGAAAAAGCTACGAAGTTTATACAAGTCTTCCAGCTTAAAGTGATTATTGAATTACTCCCAAAGCTTTGAAAAAATTGTAAATAGTACATATTTAGCCGAGTTCATTCTAGCACTAACCATTTTCCAAATCTCGACTCTGATATACATCTCCTTTAAAAATCGAACCATAAACCATTTAAGACAGATATTTTCTCAAATGAGGTTTGTTCTTTATAGTTATGTGTTCTTTCTATATGTGTTTAGCTACTTCTCTGTCGAAGTAAGCTCGAGTAGAACTTTCACTGCATTATCGGCTTAAGTTGCCGAAATTCATATATGAAGTAGAACATTCAAATTTGAGCAAACTTTAACATACTGCCTATTGTTACGGACATTCCAGCTTAAAGTAATTATTGATTCACTTCCAAAGCTTTAAAAAAGCATATTTGGTCGGGTTCGATTTCTTCTATGTTCTTTTTGTATACCGGAATAAAGCCAGCTGCTTTTGAAGCAAATCTCTTGAAATTTGGCGAAAAACGGCGCGTCATTCTTTTAATTTTAGCAGCTAATATCAGCTATTACGCAATTTTTCCACACGAAGCGAATCTCCATCAAAATGCACCTAAGAAACATCCAACCTTTTTGCATCAATTTTTCTACTAGTTTAACAACCTACGTTATTATCAATTTTCATGTGGTTTCTGAAAAACCTGAGGAAAACTTTCATCAGACAAACCGAAAACTCTCAATAGAGTTTAGATTTAAAGGGCCCAAAAACGTATCAACATGCTTCGAAAAGCCAGTTTTGGAATACCTGGATCTCTATATGGAAATTAATAGCCGTTTTGGAATGTAAAAAATCTATTACCGATTATTGTCCAGATAAGCCATAAGGAGGAATTTCTTTTGCGTTTATGCACGTTTTGGATTTCAAACCATTCTAAGCCATTGCATTTTTGGGTCTTTCGGCCTCATATTAGCCCTGGATTTTTAACAACTTATGAGAAACATTCTTGCTGGAATATATATTTCTGTTTAAATACAGTTTTAGAAACAACTCACAGGGAAAAAAATCTAGATTTAACCCTTTATATGTTCACGCAACAGAAATCGTGAAATCTGTACAAATATAGACAGTCAAAAGATATACTATAGTTAAGCTAGCTAGAATCAGAATTGTCGTAGTTTAGCCAGGATAGAACCGACTCATGAGTCGTATGATAACTAACCAAGCAATAAGCTAATAGAAAAAGGCATCATTTGAATAATTAAAATATGCTAAAAAGCTTAATGTTAAATACGACATGTTGACATTAATATAGAACGGGATGCTTGGAAAGTGGCCCGGGATGGCAGCGTTGAGTAATTCGTTTCTTTCAGATAATTTGCTTTGATAAAAACGATATTCCTCAGACCCGCAATAATGTAAAAGTGCAAGTGGACGTAAATATTAGGAATAAATAATTAAAGAATTTCGAATTTTTCGAAGATGTCTTAATCACTGTATTTCGAGCTTTTTTTGCTCTCCATACAAAGTTCATATATTCAAAATTTGTAAACATTTTATTATGGCTATTGTCGCTATGAATTTTGTTATCAACTATGTAGAAAAGTGAAACTTGCTGTAAGATAGAGTTCTTAGGTGAGTGCCTTACGAGATACATCCAGCATTAAAAAAAATAATACAGCAGACCCTTTTTCTCCCCAACTCTTCTGTCTATAACGTCGTGTGCTTGGAATTGCACACAGTTACTCGATGATAATTAATAAACAATGCCAGCTGACGTCATTTCAGATAGAAATATTTTAAACAGCGCAAAAAAAAGCTGCTTATTAAAATCTGTAGCTTTGGAATAACCAGAACGAACAGGATTTGGCGCCATGTATAACAAGTTGATCAGAATTCTTATCAAAATTCTATGGATGGTAGCAGCTAGAATAAACACACACGGGTGGACGTGCTACGAGATTGTCAATTAACTCCCTATCTCTGCGCTAGATGTTTTTCGTAAAGGTCGCTCTTTTTCAAATAAGTGAAAAAAAAATCTGTGAGCCTCGCGGGAAAAACTTCCGAAAGACATTTTCCTGCTCTTTCCGTCTATACGCTGTACTATGGGAATTAATTAACATTTTAACTTTTCTTTTCACTCTTTTGAGTTAACCTACCTGCTTTGCGACGAAAAGGGCAGATGAATTAATAACAACAGAAATAACGCGGAATAATATATCCTTATATCTAATAATATCCATATATAAACGAATAGTCAAATCTCAAACTAAAGTCAGTGGTAATGAAGACGATCTCGTAGGGAGATTAGGATTACATATAACATCAGGTAAAATATATATCAGATATTGTGCACTATATTCCGATTCGAATCACACTATCCAAATGTATATATTTCATGAGGAAAAGTGCCTTGAGTTCATATTTTGCTATACAAATTTAATAATTCATGATAACAAACACAAATAAACATTACTAAACTCAAATAATTTATATGCACGAAACCATTTGTGTTTAGAACAATACCCACGAAACTGGATCTTACTGGTCTCTTAGCTCCTGGTATTTCGGTCATTTCGTAGAGGTATTTACATGCCCGAGTTAGGAATTCTGGGCCTAAACAGGTAGATAACTAGACTACTACAAAACGATCCTTTTCATGAACAACTCGTTTGCCTAACGACGGTTTCATGCTTTTATTATTGAGTCCTTTCATTTATACTCATCCATCAGTCTCACCCTGAATAATAAATCTGACCAGCTGGTGAATCTGGGATCAGTAAATCCTATCAATTATGATTGGCATGTTGGCATTAGTATAACAGACTTTTCATCGACTGCCTATTGTTTTAATAAGCATAGCATCAGCCAGGTCTGCGAAATCCCGATCCTTTATTATAGGAAATATTTCCCTTCAATTTAGGAATTTATAAGGTTTCTTGATTTCGATGGCACATGGGAGTAATCTCAGATTCAACATGCCCACAGGTAACTACTTATCTACTACAACTTAAATGGGTTAAGTTTTTCTATTTATATTCCCTGTTCAATGCAAAAGGAAGGAAAGGGCACGTTTCAAGTGATCTTGGTGCCAGAAAATCAAGAGCTGTGAATAATTTCCAACTTAGCAAGCTTTCGCCAGACGCGAAAAAATTGCGCATTATAATTTGAACGTAAACTGAATATATTATTTATTATACTTTTCTATTTTTAACAAAAAAAAACCAAGAGAAATAACGAATTTTTGCCGATACGTAATTTATTGAAATATGAGCACTCGAAGAAGCAATTTTCGTTTTCTCTTTGGAAAATCATTCAACTCACCGAATGGTCGAATCTTGTGATGTCGTTCTAGGCTCCATCCTTCTGCAAGACTCAAACATTTCGAATGGTGACTGGTGTTTCTGTTCAATAAGGTCACAGCTAAAGCAGAGTAGCAATATGTTAGAACTGACCGAAGTACCACCATCCAAGTAAGTTGTGTTTTACAGTGCCGTGTAGCACGTGAACACTTGTCATACGGATAAAGTGCCGTTTTCGAAATCACTAAGACCAGCTTTCATACACTCAATAACGTATAGAGCAGGTGCAGGACAACGATTGTGTCTTATATGGGGAAACTCCGCTCGATGTACTTTGCTGTTTTCTGTCACAGAGCCTCATCAGAAAATTCTACCGCCCTATTTCAAACTACTCCCTCATCTTAATCTAAGGGGCCTTAATTCAAGAGAGCGGCCATACCTAACATTACGCTTGTCAACTGCTTGTTGAAATGTTCTAAAGGATTAGCGTATGTGCGCGATTTCCTTGTTGGCGTGCCGTTAGGGATTGTTGTTAAACTCTGCCGACTTGCTTAGGGGAGCAGCAACTGAACCGTATCACGGAAACAACGACCAACGAAGCATCATTGCCAGTGGTCATTTATTGTTACGCTCTTTGTTGGCATTCGCCCAAGCTGGACCCTAACGTTTACAGCGCTCTTGGTGTCGAAGGACATACCCGGGGTATGTATAGACCAGTATTGACAATCCTCGTACGACATCGTTCAATTAGCTGCAATCGTTGGGATAAACAAATGAGCTCTATTATGTAGACTGTGTGTTAGCCCCGAGATCGTTTAACAAAGTGAGTACTAATAGTACGTCCCACGTAATGGAGCAGTCATGCCAAATTTACCTATACTGAACATTCTGCAGGTAATGCTTATCAGAAGCCGTGTAATGCATGTGAGCGCTAAAATCTAGATCCTGACGCTGAGGCAAAATTTAATCCAACGTAAGGATAGATTGATCTCGGTGATGTCCCTGACAAAAAGGCATTAATGAATCGAAAATAAGGCCCATGCCTTTTCAAGTT